AGCCATTTATGTCATGTGTTTTAGGCAGCACTTCTTTGGTTCAAGCTATTCAGAAGTGACCTCGAACAAATTGGATTTGTGTTCAACAATACGATCCTTGTGTGGCCAACCGATGACACGAGCTACCAACAAACAATTTCGATTCCATGTCATGTTGATGATTTGATGTCAAGCCACAGAATGAAGTTGGTGAATGACCGGACTTTGGAATGGTTCAATGGAAGGTATGGAACCTATGGAGCAGTCAAGGCAACCCGTGGTCCCAAGCATGACTACTTGGGGATGACGGTGGACTTTTCCGATCCAGGCAAGGTAGTCATTGACATGATTGACTATCTTAAGAAGATGATCTTGGAGTTCCCGGTGGACTTCGAGCAAATGAAGAAGGTGTCCAGCGCGGCACCTGCCGATTTATTCAGTTCTGGTGATGGAGCTGCTTTGGACGACAAGACCAGAGAAATCTATCACACCAACGCAGCCAAGCTGTTGTTCGCGTGCAAGAGAGCAAGACCAGATGTCCAAACACTGACAATTGTTCTCTGTACACGTGTGAGGAATCCCACAGTTGATGACTGGGGCAAGTTGATTCAAGGATTGAAGTTCCTCGACCAAACAGTGGAGGACAAGTTGATACTCCACGTTGATGATATCCGTGTCATCACTTGGTGGGTGGATGCATCATTTGCAGTCCATCCTGATTACCGTTCCCATACAGGAGGAGTCATGTCCTTTGGAAGTGGCGCGGTGCTGTCTGTGTCTGCGAAACAGAAATTGAATTCGAGGAGCAGCACGGAAGCGGAATTGATTGGAGCTGACGATGTCATGTCGCCCATGCTGTGGGCAAAGTTGTTCCTTGAAGAGCAGGGGATAGTTGTGAAGGACAACATCCTCATGCAGGACAACAAAAGCACGATCATTCTTGCAGAGAATGGCAAAGGCAGTTCGGGCAAAAGAACTCGGGCCATCAACATTCGTTTCTTTTTTATTCATGACCAGATTGGAAAAGGCAACCTTAGAGTTGTGTACTGCCCAACCTTGGAAATGCGTGGAGATTTTTTCACGAAGCCCCTTCAGGGCAAGCTCTTCCACGAGCACAGGGCTTTCATCATGGGGCATCCACCCCTTGTTTGATTGCCTAATTTATTTTATTCGTTCCACGGTAGCCACTTAGGGCACCGTGCAGGAGTGTGTTGGAGGAAATATACCTGACACCTCTTTACTATTGACTCGTGTATTAAACATCTAGTCCGGTTCGCATGCATATTCATGATGCAAGGAACCAAGGGAGTTTTAGGTCTAAAGTGTTACGGGGGTCCTTATATCCAATTCAATCACAAGAATTGCTATGCACCACCAGAAAAACCTCACTTTTGCTTTACAGCTTAATCCAAAACCAAATTACCCCTCAATAAGCTGCAGTTTTACTAGCTAACAACGGGGATCCGTGGGCCATACTAGTAGATTAGGACATTGCATCTTCCTCGCGAATCAAGCTCAACAACAGCTCAACTCGACTGCCCTGTTCTCAAGAATCCCAATGTACCCTAGGTCAGAATTTTTTTCAAAACGCTTGTCCAATGACTTGAGGTAAGAAATAAAATGAAGATCACTGATTTCCGCTAAAGCCTTGCGACCGCCACCCATAATTTTTACCTCTAGCGGTGTCCATTCAGAAGCCCCTCCTGTGGCTGCGTTCCCTCCTGGGGTTGCAGTCCCTCCTGCGGCTGACGTCCCTGCAGCTGTGGTGCCTCCTGTAGCTGCGGTGCCTCCTGCCGTCGCGCTAGTAGCACGCACAGTTCTCCAGGCCTCGTAGTTGTCTTTGTAGTGCTGCTTGATCGCATCAATCTCGGGTTTCAATTCAGCGAAGAAAAAGTCTTTGTCCGTATCAACCTTCTCGAGGTAACTCACCAGCCGATTGGCCTCAGCAACTGCAGAGACGATGCGAGTTGGTCAAAAGTCAGTTTGGACGGAGCTTGCCACGAGAGGGCAAGGTTGAGAACAAGAAAACAAAATAATTCTACTCACCCACAATCTTGCGCTCTTCGATTTTCCGGTTTTCGATCCTTTTCTTCGTTTGTTGTTTGCGCCACTCCTTTCCAGAAATCTTCTCGCAAGAACCTTTGATAAGCTCATTGGTAAACTGGACTCCTCTCACCCTTGTGGCCTGGCGATTCGCTTGGGTCTTCGATTGGGTTGTGATGGTGGATGCCATGTGCATGCTACCTAGTGTTATGTTGTTTGTTTGATGCGAGAACGGGCCATGACGATCTGTTACGAGGAGTCTTAAGAATCAGATTATTCTTAAGAATCAGGAAAAATCTTGGGAAAATTATGATTCTTAAGAATAGAATACACAGTAGACAAGGAATCTTGGAAAAATAAGATTCTAAAGAATCATTTTACTGATTCTTAAGAATTATGGGCTGATTCTTAATGCAATACACGGCTCTTAGCCTTATTCGCGACTCGATCCTAGATAGGGTTTGAGTTCGACTCATGACTGAGTCTCTCGGTTGAAGGAAATCGGAACATTGTTCCGTTGATCATCATCCTGGCCTAATCCTTAGATAGAGATTTCTCCTTCAAGTGATTGAAATTATAGAGGAGTTGTCCTCGTTATCAGTGTCTTCTGACTTGCGCTTGGCAATATGGTTGGAAGTTTGCAGGTGGTTGCACGATATCGTCGATCTCGGTGTCTTGTCATTGTTGAGAGAGGAAGAATGGGTTGTCACGCAACTGTTTCTCGAGTTGCTGAACGCATGTTTTCTTGAGCCATCTTCATGGTGAAGGAATAGATTGATGGTAGCTTGAAAGCTATGTGTTTGTTAACAAAATGCACTACGCTAAAAGCTAGTTTAAGATCTTTCGAGTGTTTTGAGTTTGAGAGAATGAGTTATGAGAGAGTAGAAAGCTATAAACTAATCAACGAGAGAGATCATCATCAGGGATCGTAGATCTGGTCTCCCGGGAGATATAAAGTGTAATGAGTAGGTTGGCGGTAGTAATCTACGTATCTCCACGATCTAAAACGGAACGCGTGAAGTTTTGTCTAGCATGGATCTATAGCGTGGAAGTACTCCATGCTGGCTAAATATCTAGAGCGAATGTTTCATCATCAACCTAGTATGGCTAGAGCGGTCATTGAGAACCCTGTCTCAAATGACTATTCACGAGAGG